CCGCGGCCGATCAAACTATCTATCCATCTAATTGCAAGTACCTGTTATGACTAGCGTCTAATTACCGTCCGACCGTCTGCATAATTACATCGTAATTACCGTCTTCCACGTTCTATCGACCAGCCTCCTAATTAGGGCCACGATTTCGATGTTCCTCCCCGAAGAAAGCAATTTCACGCCGTTCTTCCCGCCACTTTACTTCGACCGCGATAAGATCGTTTCGAACGAATTCGATTCGTGGCAAAGCCAGAAGCGGACCAGGCTTCGACGGCGAAAGATCTCCAAAAATCATTTTCCTCGGATCGATGCAATTACCGAAGGGTAATCGATCGATGCAACAAGAACCGCCGTGCAAGTTCTGTGCGACGGAACGATCCGCCTACGCATGCGGGTCTCGGTAAATGGTAACAATAAATGGCGACTCTAATCGTGGTTCGTTAACCGATGCGACCGTTATACGGTTGAAACAGTAAACGTCGATTTATCATCGAATCGCACTGCTGCAACTTTCGAATCGGCCGCATCGACCGACGTTTTCACCCGTCGCATCGAAAACAATTATCGAAAAGTTCGTCGGTCAATGTCGCAGAATCGTCGAATCGTTTAATTAAATCTGCAGAACCTGTACGAATAAACTTCCGCAGTGTCTGTCACGCGTTCGTTGCCGGAAAAAAACTTACGTTCCATGGACGCGCTCGGAACGGAGATTCGAGGACACCGTTGCGCTTCTGCTATTTTGGATGCGCGATCGTTTACGTGGATTCAGGAATATCGATGTTAGGGTTAAAGCGAACGCAAAGGATGAGGAATTCGAGAGGGAAAGTGTATCAGCGAATTACGATCGTCGCGTTTGGGGTGACATCGCTGTAAAAGTGAAAACAAATCGCGATTACGTCACAGTCGACAAATATGTTGCTATTATTTTCGATTTGCATCGACGCGCGCGGAATTAATCGCGCCTCGATGCGAATTAATTTAACGCCGACTGCGACGCTTCGTAACCTGCGGTTTCCTTCAACGGCTCGAATACGTCGGTCTTCCAGTCGAATTCGCGACCTATCCTATAATTGTAAATATATAGGAAATAGACGGGAAAAGAAGACTCGTACGCTCGTAAAGCAACAATTGTAGATACTCGCGCGTGTCAACGGGCTCGAATAATCGGCCATCGGCCACCTGGAGAGCGCGATCCCGTCGGAGTTACCGCGACCATGATTCCAGAGCAATTAGCGATTCCGCGGGCCTGTTACACTTCGAGCCATCCGTTGATTATGCTAGGCGGCTGATTATGCTTTCGGACCGCTTTCGAGGCTACGAAAACAGGAGGAGAAGAAGAATAACGGGCTCCTTCCTTGACCCAGAAATCCGAAGAAAATTAAAATGTGGTAATCGCGAACCTATCCCGGCGTAATGTGCGAGTGCCTGTAAAAACGCGGGTCGGCCTCTTACGTGTGAACGAGACTTTACTTTCCCAAGCACGCGACCGTCGCGTAGCATCGCCTCGCGCGCGTCGCTCCTTCTCTTACTTTCTCCTCTGGGGCCGAGTCAAAAGTAGGTCCCAAATACGATTAAACGATCGTTTAAACACCTCAGCGGCGAGTCCCCTAATCAGCTTCGTGTTCGGACCATTTTCGAGTCTTTCCTCGGAAGCGAGATTTCTGAAAGAGATCCGAGGCACGATTTCGCGAGGAGATCGCGGGAGAAACTTGAACGATTCTCATCTTCCTTCGTTCTTTCTTCAATATGGAAATGCGGTTCTTTCTCCCGTTTCCATCGTGTCTTTTATTAACCGCATCTGTTCCGGCTTGCCGTCTCAAACGTAAGTTCTCCTTCCGTGGAATCCGAATGAAATTCGTCTTGTTTCTATCGGATAGAGGAGTTCAAAGTGTAACAGAGATATACGAGATTCGCGGTCACGAGCGAAACAGCAACGGAGTTTCGGATTCATCGAGCCCGAAGGTTATAGAAAAAAGTAACTTTATCGTTGACTTTCTAACGAACTCGAAGCGATCTCCGACTCTAATTATAACATCTCGAAATAAAAGCAGCGTTGTGCGAAAAGAAACGAACGAACGATTCTCCGCGGTATGATTTTCCCTAATAAGTCGTTGATTAATCGAGCGCTTAAGAGCGGACGCCATACTGGCCGAGATATCGTTCTACCGGTAAAAATTCGGAATAATTAACGCGAGAGAAAGTTCGAAGCATCGAATGCTTCTAGTCGAATACCAATGCGATTCGAAGATCCGAAGATCCGAAGGAGTTATGTAATCCGCGCGTTCGAGCGAGGTTTCTACGAATCGTGATATAAGATTCGGGCCGAAAACTTTGCGCGTCGACGAAATCGTTGGCCGAACGGTCGTTCGGCGGCGAATGCTTCTCTTCGAATAGCGGGCTGGAAACTGAATTAATTTAGGAAAAATGAAAATCGATTTTCAAATCATTTCGGCGTAAAGTTGTAACAATGTAACAACAATTTATTACACATCAAGCACATACAGGGAAACAAATTCTTACGAATAAAGACGAGATCGGTTCGTCACGATTTCGTAGATATATCACGAACGAATTCAACGATGCGACTCGATCGATGAAACGAGAAATCAAATGATTTGCGATCGATGCCAGAGCGTGTGCACCGATCGCAAAAAGGGGCAATCGTTTTTGCTCGCGCGTGTACGTCGATGCGCCCGGTTCTCTAACTTTCTAATCGATGCCAAGCCATTGTCTCCCGCGTCTCGGACGACTCAATGACCCGTTCCGGTTACTTCCAGCATCGGTTGCCCGTTTAATCGAGCTTGGGCGGTTCTTCCACGCCGGACTAGACGTCTTCTAACCGCGAGAGGCGAGGTCCGCGCAACGTCCGAGTCTCGAAGACGAAATCGAAGTGGAAGTCGCCCGACGCGACGCGACGCGACCGTCATCTTACTTTCATTGCTTTCGACGGAAAGCCTGGCCGGGCCGACCGGCTGGTCTTTCTGCTCGTCTCTCCGCTTGTTTTCATCGGCGAAAGTGAATGCGAATGGAACGCGTCCATGTTTCTAATTGACCCATCGGCATTCGACGCGAGACGCCGCGAGTCGCTCGCCGCTCGCCGCTCGCCGCTCGCTTCGTAATCGATATCGCGATGCGAAACGAGTCGTCCGAGTCGTTCCGCCGGTGAACTCGATCGGGCGTTTGTCGCTTTTCCCCCGCGAACCTTCTTCGTCGATCCCATTTGCAGTTCGATCGAGACTTTTGCGCCGCGATAGACCGTCCACCGATTTCCGCCGCGTGCAATCGCTTCGCAGGACCCGAGAGCGAAGCGAAAGATGCCGAGGACTCGGCGCGACGAGTTCACATTTTCCGAAGAGCTTTCGAGAATGGTGAAATGGTGAGAAAAACGACGATTCACGGAATAAATTGATCATTTATTCAGTATACATTCACGTGGCTATATTACACGACTGGGGGATGGTTGACACGCTGGTTGACTCGAGGGACGATGGTAGGAACAGCCGCGACCAGTAGAAGGACCGAGGAGGGCGACCAACCAGTTCGTAAGACACTCTCCGAAAGAGGAAAAAGAGAGAAAAATACATATGTATATCCGCGACGGTAAACCGTGGCCCGTAAACGATCGCGTCTCGCGTTTTCCGCGCCGTTTGCTCGCCGTTTGCTCGCCGTGCGTTTCGAAACCGGAAATTAAACGTTCATTGTTATCGGCGGTCACGGCCCCGGCCAAAGGGGAAACAATACCCTGGACCAACGAAATAATCGATCGAATACTGCGCGTAATACGTACCTGTTGCGCCTCCGCGAGCGAATGGCGGTTAAATTGGCCGAATTGAAGAAAATTTGGGAGAAAAGGAGAACTCGTCGAAAGCAAAAACTTTGTCGACGAAAGAAAGGGAACTTTTGTAATTCGATCGTCGATCGATAAAGAGCATGGAACGGCAACTAAGAGATACCGAGAGAATCGAATTACGTATTCGGGAGCCAAATAGTTTCGAAACGACGAATAGCCGAATACGTTGCGAGAATAGGAAAAGATAATGGCGATTATTTAATCGGATACGTACCGGCGAACAAACGCTAAATTGATAATAGGAAAAAGGACAAAGGCTCGTGGAGAACGCGAAAGTTAAGGGGGAAAGAATTTCCCTGCGGGCTGATCTAACACCGACCCGTGCCACTGGCAATCGACGAAACTTATGCAAAAATAATGTGACTCGGCGTTCGACGAGGCGTTGCGAAAATGCGTGCGCGTTTCCCACGAGACTCTTTTACGAAACAAATTACAATAAAAAAAAAAAGTTCGCGCACTGCGCGTACGCGTCGAATGCCAGGCGGAATAAACGCGCGCGTTCGATTTTATAGCAAATTTTCTAAAAAGGTCGCAGGAACGGAATCGGAAAAGCTCGGACGCCTATTCCGCTGCCGATTGAAATCGCAAAATAAAGTTCGCGATCGATGGTAATCAGAGCCGAACAACGTTATCGTTAAGCCTAACGGCGCAACGCTGGACAATCGTTTCTACGAAATAATTGTAGCTGGAAAATCGAGCGGAAAGCGACGTAGCTCATCGGAAAAGCAAAATAGACGAAAGCGAATCGACGAACGTCTGGATCGAATGGTAAAGAAAATCGTGGCTCGAAGTCGAGAGAGAAAACAGCTTCCGAAACTCGTCTCTTCCTCCTCCGTGAGATCAACGAATCTGTTTTNGCCGCTCGCCGCTCGCTTCGTAATCGATATCGCGATGCGAAACGAGTCGTCCGAGTCGTTCCGCCGGTGAACTCGATCGGGCGTTTGTCGCTTTTCCCCCGCGAACCTTCTTCGTCGATCCCATTTGCAGTTCGATCGAGACTTTTGCGCCGCGATAGACCGTCCACCGATTTCCGCCGCGTGCAATCGCTTCGCAGGACCCGAGAGCGAAGCGAAAGATGCCGAGGACTCGGCGCGACGAGTTCACATTTTCCGAAGAGCTTTCGAGAATGGTGAAATGGTGAGAAAAACGACGATTCACGGAATAAATTGATCATTTATTCAGTATACATTCACGTGGCTATATTACACGACTGGGGGATGGTTGACACGCTGGTTGACTCGAGGGACGATGGTAGGAACAGCCGCGACCAGTAGAAGGACCGAGGAGGGCGACCAACCAGTTCGTAAGACACTCTCCGAAAGAGGAAAAAGAGAGAAAAATACATATGTATATCCGCGACGGTAAACCGTGGCCCGTAAACGATCGCGTCTCGCGTTTTCCGCGCCGTTTGCTCGCCGTTTGCTCGCCGTGCGTTTCGAAACCGGAAATTAAACGTTCATTGTTATCGGCGGTCACGGCCCCGGCCAAAGGGGAAACAATACCCTGGACCAACGAAATAATCGATCGAATACTGCGCGTAATACGTACCTGTTGCGCCTCCGCGAGCGAATGGCGGTTAAATTGGCCGAATTGAAGAAAATTTGGGAGAAAAGGAGAACTCGTCGAAAGCAAAAACTTTGTCGACGAAAGAAAGGGAACTTTTGTAATTCGATCGTCGATCGATAAAGAGCATGGAACGGCAACTAAGAGATACCGAGAGAATCGAATTACGTATTCGGGAGCCAAATAGTTTCGAAACGACGAATAGCCGAATACGTTGCGAGAATAGGAAAAGATAATGGCGATTATTTAATCGGATACGTACCGGCGAACAAACGCTAAATTGATAATAGGAAAAAGGACAAAGGCTCGTGGAGAACGCGAAAGTTAAGGGGGAAAGAATTTCCCTGCGGGCTGATCTAACACCGACCCGTGCCACTGGCAATCGACGAAACTTATGCAAAAATAATGTGACTCGGCGTTCGACGAGGCGTTGCGAAAATGCGTGCGCGTTTCCCACGAGACTCTTTTACGAAACAAATTACAATAAAAAAAAAAAGTTCGCGCACTGCGCGTACGCGTCGAATGCCAGGCGGAATAAACGCGCGCGTTCGATTTTATAGCAAATTTTCTAAAAAGGTCGCAGGAACGGAATCGGAAAAGCTCGGACGCCTATTCCGCTGCCGATTGAAATCGCAAAATAAAGTTCGCGATCGATGGTAATCAGAGCCGAACAACGTTATCGTTAAGCCTAACGGCGCAACGCTGGACAATCGTTTCTACGAAATAATTGTAGCTGGAAAATCGAGCGGAAAGCGACGTAGCTCATCGGAAAAGCAAAATAGACGAAAGCGAATCGACGAACGTCTGGATCGAATGGTAAAGAAAATCGTGGCTCGAAGTCGAGAGAGAAAACAGCTTCCGAAACTCGTCTCTTCCTCCTCCGTGAGATCAACGAATCTGTTTTGTTAACTTCGTTACGACAAGACGATCGATGAGTCTTCTCACGACCCTCTTCCACTCTCTGTTCATATTGTTTGCGGAAGAATAGTTAGCGAGTCCTCGCAGATATCTGGAAACAAAGATGAAGAAAATTCGGGAGACGATCGTCCGGTCCGCCGCGGAGTCGTTGTCGGTGCTCCGATTCCACCGGTCTCTATCTACCGGCGACCCTTTTCGCTTCCATCAAGGGTGCCAGCAGCTTTGCTACCCTTTCGTGGAAGATTAACCGCCCTCGATCGATCGTGGTTCGCGAGCGATTCGTTATCCGACGATTATTGGGATTTTGGCGATACCGCGCGATAGGAGATGATTTTCTTATCGAATTAACGTTAACGTTATGCGGAAAATCTGGAAACCGATGGGAATGGGAATTGCGCGCATCGTTTAAAAAGATGAACGCATTTGCGAGCAGACACTCGGAAACTTATTCGTTGAATCGCGCCGAAGTTTCGAGGACGCTAAGGGCATTGCAGTAATGTCTCCCTAATTTGGGAAGAGAAGATACGCGATTATTCGAGCCTCGTAGCCCGTTTTTATAATTGTTGAGAATCGACGACCATAAAAGCGACCCTAAAAGCTCGAATAATCGCGTATCTTCTCTTCCCAAATTGTCCATTTTCGTGGACAATCCGAGGGTCGATTGGAGAGACGTTACTGTATTTTGTACCGGCATCGCGAGACTTGGAAAATCTTCGCGGAATAAAATGGCAAAACAAGATCTCGCCGTTCGGCGCAGATGTTCGATTCGAAGTTGTAGTTAAACGGAAGAAAGGCTTCGTTAACTTTCACTCCGAAGTTCTTAATGGGACACCGCGTGTGCTGCTACGCGATTAAACTCGATAAATACCGCGGCGTATATAGAATTATATTTTCTAGGTTAGCAGTGACTTCAACGCCGGAACAAGAACAGGATCGATCTCGTTAATAACTTAAGCGAAAGTGCAAGAGACCGATTCCTGTTTAATATTCCTTGTTCGCTGGTTCGCGGATCGCTTGTTACCTCGACAACCGAGATTATCGCGCGCGCTGCTTTATCGATAAATGACACGGCAATGAAAACATTTCTAACCGGATTAACTTTTACCGTCTCGTATAGACGAGCGATCGCCGTTTCAGAAACGCTCGGATACGCTTGCAATGCTTGTAACCGCGTCCACCTCGTACTTCTCTCCGTGAAACGTTCTATCGTCGAGTCTCGCGAGCTATCGTTTTGATATTTTCACGGAAGCTTCGTCGCATCGTTATCCAGCCATTTCTCGGTTGCTGTTACTTACCGGAGAACGGTTAGTCTTAGGAAAGAAACTCGGGATCGCTGGCGTTGCTCGCATCGATCTCTCGGACAGACTCGTCGCGACCCACGAAGCCGAGGACCGCGTTGAATCGATCCACGGAAGAAACCGTTCGGTAATCCGGAGACGATCGTTTACCGTATCGAATGTTCAGGAAGAGTCGGTTTTTCCTGGGCATCGCATCCACAGCGTTTGGCAACGGCATGCCGTTTTGCGAGCCGTCGCTGCGACCGTACCTCAACCACATCAGGGGATCTGCGAATCAAATGCGAATGCCAATTTTCAGTGAAAAATATTCAGGAAAATTCGTTCGAGTAATTCGCTGAATTACTGCAATTCGCGAAGGACGAGAAGAAAACTGGGGTATCGCCCTTTGTTCACCCTTCTGAAGCGCGGAAAGCAAGGACCGTTGCAAATCGATCGCACCACCTGCTCAACGCCGTTCGAAAGAAACGTTATCGTTGCTCGCGAGTGCCGTCGCGCGTCTGAAAAATTGTCAGAGTTCACGATCCGGATAAAAGAAGACCAACGTCGAGAAACGTTACTTTTCAAGCATCTCGAAGACGCGAGCGTAAACGGTGGGCGGTCGATCTACCGTAAAATATTCCGCGCGTAATTACGGAACGCTAAAACCGCAGTCCTTTGTTACGGTTTCTCGGAAACCGGCAATTAATGACCCCGATAAATCAGGGCCGAAAGGGCGTGACCGTGGCGCGGCGTGTCGGAGCAACGCGAACTACCGCACGCGAGAAAAAACACCGATCTTCGTATCGAATGGAAAAGGAGCTTCTTCGATGGGAAACCGTTCGCGGACGGTGCTCGATTACAGAGGATGAAATTCGCGAACGTGGAACCGGGAGAGTCCCCGAGAACCGGAAAAGAGCTAATTAGAGGAGACCGTTCGCGATCAGGCGAAGACTCGCGACGGACTCTCGGCGACTAATTCGTAAAAATACGACCTATTTGCCTATTGCTGCCCGAACTATCTCGGACAACGATCGATCGGCGAATTTGGAAATTAGAAAATAAACGCTCGAATCTACGGTTTAATAGCAACGATAAAGCTTTCCATCGCGTTCGCTCGATTGCCAACAATTAAATACGCGGAATCGTATTCGAAATAAAGAAGTAATCGGAACATCGATCGACCCGCAATATTGCCAATATACGAATATAAAATCTATAAAAGGGAATTGCACGAAATTCATTTAGAAGCTCGTATTTAATCGCTTTGGGTAAAGTCGCGTCGACCCGAAGACAGTGTCGGAGTTAAATAATTTACGGAAGATTGCTGGGAGAGAAGAAAAAGTATGATCGAACGAAGACGGGACGCGCGGGGCGACCGGCCCCGGACGACGTTATATTTCCTTCAAATTTTTTAATGGAATCGAGTATCAGCGACGCGTGTCTCGGGACCTCGGGCAATGCTCTCTTTGAGTTTATGCACGCGCGAGGTTGAACCGCGTATTTTTTAATTCCAGGGACTGTTAAGAGATTGCTTCGTTTGAAAACGAACGGACGTTGCAGCATCGTCCGCCGGGAACTTTGAGTACGTTGAATGGTACGAGGGTGTATCGGGCGGCTACATTTCTAATCGTATAATCCGCGGACACGTTTATTTTTGGTTTTCCGGCAGAGAAGGGGTTTTCACGAGCCGAGTCATTTATGCGCGAACAATATTTCCTCCGTTTTGTTCATCGCGCCGTGTCAATTAGCGAAGTACTTTTTCCAACGAAATTTTGTCGACACCGTTGGCTCGCGAATCGACGGCGCACCATTTTCCAACTCGGATCGTCGCCTCGGCAAAATTTGGTTCGATCCGCCGTTGAAATTTCCGACGACCAAATTCTAGCCGGGATCCGTGAAACGCGGGAGGCTCGGAAGGGTGTAATTAACGAATAGTTCTCCGTCGCGAGGGGATGGCGGCCGTAAATCAGGCGAGTCTCGTGACTTACCCACACGTGGCTCGTGTCGTTTCCCATACCGGTCGAGGATGCGGAAACCCTCCGCAGAAGCTAGCAGGGTTAAAACGGCACACGCGATCCACACACACGTCGCGAACTCAACGCTTCCGAAGCACGGCACGGTCTGAACCTTTCTACTTCGCGGATGCATCCTTCTACCTGTAGAAATCGAAATGTCCAAACATGTTCACCGGCTGGCTGTCACCTTTCCGTCCACCCTCAATCTCCGAAGACAGACTCGATCGCACCCCATGCCCGACTCTTTTTTTTTCGCTCCACGTGCTTCTAAAGCAGCGTCCTCTCTCTCTCTCTCTCTCTCTCTCTCTCTCCTCGAACAGACTCTTTTCTATTTTCTGCTCGATCGCGTTCGCCACCCAGTTTTGCGCCTCGTTCTACCCGCGTACGCGTCGACTATTCCGTTCGAGAAGCTACCGATCGCAAAACGCGGTCAACGTGTCCCTCAAATATTTACCGGCTCAGAAAATATTTGGAAGCGAAACGTAATCCCGAGCCACCGGGCCCGAACGGAAACCAGCTAGTACTTCGTCGACGACTCTGTCAACACCCCTCCGTCCAACCCTGAACTGCAAGGAAATCAAGCCTGGATCATCGAGTGCGCCACCATCGAAAACATCGATCGTGGCTCGACGTCGTTCTTCCGTGTTTTACCTGTTGCCACGAGTTTATCCCTTGGATCGCGGGTTCTCACGGTCACAAACAATTTCGCCGATCAGCGGGGGCCCCATTATCCAGGCCGTCGCGCGTCCAACGGCCGCCCGCGAAGGAATTTCGATTTCCACAATGACAATGGGAACGAGAACGCGCGGCAAAGTCGGAAGTTGTACGAGTTCGGGTTCGCGCGGACGGAATAACACCGGAACCGGCGAACGAGCAACACGTAAGAGCGACTGCGATGTACCATGATCCGTGAAACGCTTTATATAGTCGCGCCCAACCACCCACGAACTGTTCGGACACCCCTAACGGCGACCAATCGCGCGACAGCTCGCCGTGCCCTCTCCTCGTTGATTCCCGATCATTTTACTGCTTGCGATCTGTTTTTGCCGCCCCCGAGCCAATTAGACGACCGACTGACTCCGCGACCGACTCTGCGCCCGGAATGCACCGGTGCGGCGCGGTGCGGTGCGATGCGGTGCGATACGGTGCGGAGGGGCGCGGGGCGACGGCCGCGGCCGGTGACATCGATTTCGGGCCCACAGTCGATGTACCCTGAACGAGTGAAAATTGTCTGACATTTTCGTGGATATTCAGCCTCGCTACAAATAATAGCAACATTTTAATTATCGCGAACCCTTCGTTGTTACGGTAATGTCTCTCTAATCGACGCTCGGATTTTCCACAGAAATGAACAATTTGGGAAGAGGAGATACGATTATTCGAACTTTGCAGCTCGTTTTTATAGTTGTTGACAATCGATAACCATAAGAAACGAGTCGCAAGCCTCGAACAATCGTATCTTCTCTTCCCAAATTGTACAGTTTTATGCACAATCCGAGCCAAGGTTAGGGAGACATTATCGTATATTCTACGAAAATAAAAACGGTGTAATCGAACGCAGAGAAGATTTCTCGAAAACGACGATTCGAATTTCCTCCAGTTCCCTAATGTTTCGCCCCATTGTCGGAAGCACATTTCCCGTCTACCCTCCGATGAACCTAATCGCGGAGAAGCTTCGCCCCCCCCCCCCCCCCCCCCCCCCCCCCCCACCCG